CAAATACAAAGTAGAGGCCTCAAAAAGAAAACCTTAAGATGTCTTTGCTCCAGAGAATTAAACTGCACTGTATAGCAACAAAAAATGTGGTTTGACAGGCAGTTTTCTTTAGGAGACCCCTGCCCCAGACTAGATGTGATATACATTAAGAGGTTTTTTTTTTTGAGACAGGGTCTTACTCTGTTGCCTGGGCTAGAGTGCTGTGGCATCAGCTTAGCTCACAGCAACCTCAAACTCCTTGGGTCAAAGGACCCTCCTGCCTCAGCCTCCTGAGTAGCTGGGACTGCAGGCATGTGCCACCATGCCCGCTAATTTTTTTTTAATGTATATATTTTTTAGTTGTCCAGCTAATTTATTTGTATTTCTTTTAGTAGAGATGGGGTTTCACTCTTGCTCAGGCTGGTCTCAAACTCCTAAACTCAAACGATCCTCCCACCTCGGCCTCCCAGAGTGCTAGGATTACAGGTGTGAGCCACTGCACGTGGCATAGTTTCATCAGTTTTTTTTTTTTTTTTTTTGAGACAGAGTCTCACTCTGTTGCCGGGGCTAGAGTGAGTGCCATGGCGTCAGCCTAGCTCACAGCAACCTCAAACTCCTGGGCTCAAGCGATCCTACTGCCTCAGCCTCCCGAGTAGCTGGGACTACAGGCATGCGCCACCGGATGCCCGGCTAATTTTGTTGATATATATTAGTTGGCCAATTAATTTCTTTCTATTTATAGTAGAGACAGGGTCTCGCTCTTGCTCAGGCTGGTTTTGAACTTCCTGACCTTGAGCAATCTGCCCGCCTCAGCCTCCCAGAGTGCTAGGATTACAGGCGTGAGCCACCCCGCCCAGCGACATGCACTTTTGAGATGCGAAATGCAGCTCCTTCAGTGCTCCCCAAACGTGCCCCACTTGGGCTTTTCCTCAGGCAGCAGCAGGACCCAGCTCACCTTTTCCTGGCTTTTCTCCAACCTCTACCCTTTCTGCTCCTCTCTTCTCTGATTTCCGACCTTCCTCAGGCCCAGTAGTTTAGGTCTTCCAAAGTGTTGTCCTCAGCCCTCAATTCTGCCCCTGGTTATCAAGGAATAAATCTAAATAAACGCAAGCCCCTCAATTAGAGTTTGGGGGTGCAAACATACAAAAAAAAGATCTTTTTTTTTTTTTTTAGCCAACCTTGGTTGAACAATAAAAATCTTTACCTCCGTATACTGTGTCCCATGGAGACGTGTGTTGACAGTTGGCAGTCTTGGACAGCACTGTCGGCGCAGTAGCAGTGTGGAATCATTTTTGAAGAACTTTGAGAAACAATGGGATTTCCTGCCTTCATGGGAGATGATAGGCATTAACTGCAGAAACATGATTTATCATTATATATGTGCACATCCTTGGGAATATCTAGAAAAAACACTTAGGAAATCTGAGGTCTAGGCAAACAAGCTGTAGCGACCAGAAGTCAGGAAATGTGTACAGTAATGTTGTACAAGAGGTGTACAGGGGTTTTGAACCAGGCAGCAATGCCGTGTACCTACTTTTATCTTGAAAATTAACAATTATGGCCCTCTTTATCTGTTGGCGTTCTAATGTTCCTCGCCAGATTTATGTACTCTTTGCACTCTTTTTTTGGCTTCATGCTGCCAATTTCTTCTTGTTTTCTACTGTTCCATTTCATCCTGTATGCTATGAGTCAAGCTAGGATAGTCAATTAAGCTGTGCTTATTCTTTAGGTTGGACGCGGTGGCTCACGCCTTGTAATCCTAGCCCTCGGGGAGCGAGGCGGCGATTGCTCGAGGGTCAGGAGTTCAAACCAGCCTGAGCAAGCGCCAGACCCCCGTCTCTTACTATAAAGAATTATTAGCCAACTATTATATATATATAATAGTGGTGGCTTATATATATATATATTAGCCAGGCATGGTGGTACATGCCTGTAGTTCCAGCTACTTGGGAGACTGAGGCAGGAGGATTGCTTGAGCCCAGAGTTTGAGGTTGCTGTGAGCTAGGCTGATGCCATGCCACTCACTCTAGCCTGGATAACAAAGTGAGACTCTGCTCAAAAAAAAAAAAAGCTGTGCTTATTTTATTGTCTTTCCCGAAACATCCCTCCTCCCACACCTACCTTGACCATCAGAGCCTAAGCTTTCAATGAGTGGGCCTGTGTTTTCCCTGCTTGTCTTTGTCCAGGCCTGTCCCTGTCTGTCTGCCCTTTATCATGCTGCCTCCAGGGCTTTATGGTAGAAACCTCATGGAACTACATTTACACAGATCTTTCATTAATCCTACAAGCAAAGGAACAATTTACCTTATGTAAGCAAAGTATGCAATGCTTCAAGATCTTTTTTCTTTTTAGACAGAGTCTTGCTCTGTCACCCTGGCCTAGGTGCAGTGGTGTCATCATAGCTCACTGGAATCTCAAACTCCTGGACTCAGATGATCTCCCCCCTCAGCCTCCTGAGTAGCTGGAATAAGAGGCATGAGCACTGCACCTGGCTTGCATCTTTTAAATAATGGGTCAAATTATTTAAAATTATCACTGAAGAACTGGGTGCATGGCTCATGCCTGTATCCTAGCACTTTGGGGACGGCCGAGGTGAGAGGATTGCTTGAGGTTAGGAGTTCAAGACTAGGCTGGGCAATATAGTCAGACACCACTTCCAAAAAAAAAAAATAATTTAAACAAAGTAGATGGGTGCAGTGCTGCCTTAATCCTAGCTATCACGAGGCTGAGGCAGTAGGATTGCTTGAGCCCGAGTTGAGGCTGTAGGCAGCTATGATGACGCCACTGCACTCTAGCCTGGGGGGCAGAGCAAAATCCTATCTGCACATACTTTTCCTATTTAACCACTTCGGGACCAGCATTGACTATAGTTGATAGCTACAGATGAACATGCTAGCGACTTTAGCCAACAGCCGTGATATGACTTTTCTAATTTTTCATTTATCAAAATAATTGTGGGCCGGGCGCGGGGCTCACGCTGTAATCCTAGCTCTCTGGGAGCCGAGGCGGGCGATTGCTCGAGATCAGGAGTTCGAAACCAGCCTGAGCAAGAGTGAGACCCCCGTCTCTACTATAAAATGAAAGAAATTAATTGGCCAACTAATATATATATACAAAAATTAGCCGCCGGTGGCGAATGCCTGTAGTCCCAGCTACTTGGGAGGCTGAGGCAGGAGGATTGCTTGAGCCCAGGAGTTTGAGGTTGCTGTGAGCTAGACTGACGCCACGGCACTCACTCTAGCCTGGGCAATAAAGTGAGACTCTGTCTCAAAAAAAAAAATAAATAAAAAAATAAAATTGTGAACATTTAAAAATAACATAATGAAAACATCTACGTATATGTTACCTATTCTGATTTGCATTACAAGTAAAGCTGCCTGTAAAGTAAAACAAGTTTTTCAGCGCTTTCAAGCTTTCCTCATCACACAACAGCAAAACGGATCTGTCGTCAATGCACTGCACAAACTATCGTGTGGACTATGAGTGCCCGCTGTGGGCTGGTGAGCGCTGTACCGAGGTGGTTAAAGTAACTGCACGTGCTTACTTGCTTTGAGGACTGCCAAATGTAGGATGCAAAAAATCTTAGGTATGCCAATTTTCTGCAGAGGTTCGAAGTTTTCTGTAATGCATACTCTCAGGAAAATCACTGTGGAAATGGTTTAAGATCTGCTGTGAAATCGATTTCTTAAGAAATGGTTGAGGAGACCTGGCGGTGGCTCATGCCTGTAATCCTAGCACTCTGGGAGGCCGAGGCGGGCGGATTGCTCGAGCTCAGGAGTTCGAAACCAGCCTGAGTAAGAGCGAGACCCCGTCTCTACTATAAACAGAAAGAAATTAATTGGCCAACTAATATCTATATAAAAAATGAGCCGGGCATGGTGGTGCATGCCTGTAGTCCCAGCTACTCGGGAGGCTGAGGCAGGAAGATCGCTTGAGCCCAGGAGATTGAGGTTGCTGTGAACTGGGCTGATGCCATGGCACTCACTCTAGCCTGGGCAACAAAGTGAGACTCTGTGTCAAAAAATAAATAAATAAAAAAATAAAGAACATCTAAACTTTTAAGATATGATTTTTATTGAACATATATAAGATTCACCTTTACATTATTATAAACACTTTACAAATTATTGTTAAAAAAAGGAAACACTTCCTGGATTTATCACTGTATACTTGAAACAAAGAAATGTAATATATAAATATGAAGGTCATTCTCCAAGTATTAAAACAAAATACTGACGGAATCACTTCAATAACATTTTCATAAACATTTGTATGGTCACCCACACACTGTACCAACTTCTAAAAAATCACACACATGAGAGAAAAGTGATCCCCAAAATAAGGTATATTTTCAAAAACAGCCAAATTGAATGTACTCTAAATGTCTTCCCCTGCATGGGATTTGGTCAATGAATATTAATGTGAGAATTTTGTAATGTACACAAGATAAATATTTGAAAAATGCAGAATACATTGTGTAAATTAAAAAATCTGTCAACTTTGTTGTATGGGGAGTACACAGACCACCCACATGAACACTTAGAATATACTATGTATACATTATGAAAATCGCATATATAAGGGAATAAGGCCTTTATTTCCCGAGCAGTCTTAAAACAGGCTTAATATAGGTATACTTCATCCTTTATAGTTTAGACTTCATATTCTTTAACATTTCAGCTATTAACATTATGCATAGTACCTAAGCCAACATGTAAGTAGTGGTATAACACAATTTCAACTACAGTACTTGATTATATTCACATGACGTACCATCTAAGTGAGCTGACCAAGTTAAAGACCTGTTAAGAAAATAAAATGCAACCCCATCACGTGAGCCCAGTTTGTCTCAGAGCATTGTTATATATTCTGGGAGCCTAATACTTCAGAGTATGTACTTCAGTGAAGTTCTTAATAATACTGTCAGCTTGAGCTTGTAAAGTGGTCCAGTTATGGAAAACTAAAAGTCTAAAATCACTTCTGGATGTTTTAATTTATTAAAACTCATTGCTGCCTGAATTTGAATATGTTTTGACTGGAGGTTAGTTGAAGATTTTTTTTTCCCTCTTTTAGCAAGCAAATGGGCTAAGTGGTCAACCTCTGTGGCTTATAGTTTTGTACAAAAAAACATATATAAAAGAATCTAGTCTGGATATTATTCTGGATTATTAATCTAGTCTAGATATTATTATGCTGGAATGGGATGCTGGAGTTTAGGATTATTGGTTAAGACTTGCTCAGATCATAAGTACTAATCCACATTAGTTATTTGTAAAAAGAAGCTTTCAAAATCACCAGGAGTCAACCATTCAAGCGTGAACTGATGGCCAAGCCTTCTCTGCCATCAGTCCCCTTCACATCCTGTCTGGTCTCAATCACCAGCTCAGCCCACAGGCAGTGGTCTCCGGACTAGCCTGTGCATTCTCCCAAACAAGGTATTTAAGACTATTTCTTATCTCATTACAAATACAGAGTTTTAAAACACCATGAGTCTTTTTCTCTAGGATAGAATTAGAAAAAGTATTATATACATCTACAAATTTGCTAAGACTGGTTGATTTGAAATTTGATGTTAATGTTTAAAAATCAATGTCTTGAGAATCTAATTTTTCAAATCCAATTGTCTAAACTCAGAATCAAAAGTGGATTTTATTTAATAAGTAGATTTTTTCAATAGCTATGTGGTTAAGATGTTAACAATGTATGTTCTAAGCACTAGAAAGGCAGGCAGACACTTACGAAACCATTAACAAATATTTTGAAAGGACTGTACTGAAATTTGAATGCAAAGTGTGCCAATGGAACACAAAATAGAATAAAATGAACCCAGACTTTCACTGACTACAAAGGATATAGCTATGAGTGCTTTCTTCTTCCTAATCAATGTTTCTATTTATTAAAATATTTGCTATATTTACTAGTACATAAATCAAGATGTGTTTGGTGGCTGCTAAAATTATAAAGGCATGATTTTTATGCATTTCAAAATCTCTCCACATTAAAAAAAAAATTCTGTACCATTTTAAATATCGAGAACCAGTCTTATATAAAGGTATAGGGCCAAGGACAGCTAAGGATGAGTAAGACAGGGAGGGTACTGCTCTGATTACAGCACCTCTTATATGTCTGATGAATGTCCTTGCTGAACCCCACTCACAATCTAATTTAATCGTTTCCAAAACTGCAAATCATTTGCAGAAGTGACAATAAAAAATATAGCCTAGAAATAATATTTTGAAGATAGAAAAATATATTTTAAAAAAAGTCATAATAAATATCTCTCTAAACAGTATCTTCCTATCTCTATAAAAACCTTTCTTTGATTTTTTTCCATAATATATAATGAATGGATCAGTTCATATGAAGATAGACAGCAAATCTTTACCACTTGTGATAACATTTTCCTTGGTTACACCAAAATGTTCAGATCAATGCTTTTTTCTTAAAAATAAATCTTAAAAAATAAAAAGTATCTAATAACTCAGAAAACCCTCTCGATATTCAAAATATTATAAAATAGTGTAATCTTTAAAAAATTTTAAGAATCTATTTGTTAAAATAGGATTAACGTAGAGTCTCTGAAATATTTTAAAAAATAAACAAATGTTCTAACGTTAACTATTCAAATTTTTCTATACCTCTAAATTTGGATATTAAAATAATTTCTCCCCTATTTTGCCAATGTGAAAATTCCTAGATCAAAGTAATTCTATTCTGACATATTATCTTTTTTGGAGATGATTTTGAAAGAAAGAATTGGGGAATTGCTGGTTCTACAGAATCTACATTTTTCTTCATTGACTGAGTGATTCCTAGAAAGTTTAGATCTTTCCACATGGCAATTGTCATGTAAGACCAGGAAAACTCTAAGGTTTTTTATCTGCTGTGCTGTTAAACTGGATCCAGAATAGATATTCTTATTTTAAAAGCTATATTTTATGTATGTTATATTCTATTTTTGCCTTAAAACAACTACCTTCTGATAAAGAAGAGAACACAGTATCTGATCATGGGGTGCTAAAATAGAAAACCACTGTCTGCCTTAGAGGTGTTGTGTGGAGCAGCTGTCCTGTCTGATACTCACTACCTCTCTGGAATAATTTTTAGTTTCAGATAAGTCTGAATTTACATAGAAAAGGCTTCTCTGTTTCTGATCATATCACAATTTTCCTCTTGTTCTAAACTTTTTGACCCCTAAAACCAGCAGATCTAATAATATTCAGTGAGTTAAAACAGCTCTTCTGTAAGAGTGCCTTAAAGTAGCCTAACATATTGAATATTAAACTTATTTTGAATCCTTTATGTAGTGCTAATGGGGACTCTGCAGCTCATCTAATATTAACAAGTAACAATATACATTGATATATTGCATAATAATGGCATTACATCCATTCATGTATCTCAGACTTAAACGCACTTAGCATTTGATTTATGACTGATACATTTACAATTATTAAGCATTTTACATGTTGAAATTGTAGTCTAACATTTTCCCAAAGCATGAACACCCACACTTTATCAATTATTATATCAAAGAGAGTTAATCAACTTGGTACAATACTGTAGGTAGTATAATACGGAAGATTTCTTTAACAGGAATTATAATTATCTTGACAGAATTTATAGGTTTATAGGATATAAATGATATTCCCTTATTGTCTCTCAAACATAAAATTTACAAACACCCCATATAGCCCCAATCTGTTGAGCACCTTTATCACAGACTTTACACTTGAATACTAAAATTATACTCCGAGGTGTATAATGCTGTTGACCCCACTGGAGTGTTTTGAAAGAAAAAGGCTTTTCGTTACCCGTGCAGCAACTCCTGAGGCCATGGACTTCCAAGGCACACACCGCACAGTGCCTTGAAACTGCCACTCAGGTGCTCCCTTTCGGCGGGTGGGGAAGGATGGTGGTGGGCACTTCCACAGAGGAAATCAGCTTTGCCTTTCCTCTTGTTAGATGAACTTCATTTTTTAAATAGGTTCATTTTCTTTTCTATTAAAGTGCTTGAATAAAATGCATTGATACATCAATTATCCACATCTTAAATCCACAGGGCAACTTCGGTGCACCAGCTCGACTTCTAGCGTTTGATCACCACTTGTTCATAAGCTCCAGATCCCACCCTAAACAGCAGGGGAAAAAAAAAAAAACGTCAAAAGTTTGAGCCCGTAGTGTTTGCAATTGTTCTAAGTAACCTTGGCCGTCCCCTCCCCCACAGATGGTGCATTAGGCATTTTTCTATTAGGTTTGATTTCCACAAGGTTTACGGTATCACAGATAGAAAAGACTTGAAATAGTAAATGTTTATAATTAATACATTGAATTAGTCTATGAACCTCTCACACTTATTAATCCATAATAATCTAGTAACATTTCCCAATTCTTTTTTTTTTTTGAGACAGAGTCTCGCTTTGTTGCCCAGGCTAGAATGACTGCCATGGCGTCAGCCTAGCTCACAGCAACCTCAAACTCCTGGGCTAAGAGAGAAGATACTAGAAATTAATTGGCCAATTAATATATATAGAAAAAATTAGAATATATATAATTAATATATATATAATATAATTATATAATATGAATTATATAGTATATTCAATAATATATACAATAATATATATATATATTAATATATTATTATAATAGTAATTATATATTATAATTATAATATAATTATTAATTAAAATAAATAGGGAAAAATAATATATATAATTAATATATTATAATTAATTATTATATATTAATATAATTAATAATATAGAAAAATGGCCTGGCACTGTGGCAGCAACAGAGTGAAACTCTGTCTCAAACAAACAAACAACAAAAACCCTGCGAGGCCTGTGTGGACCCCCTCTCATGCCTGTAGTCCCAGCACTTTGGGAAGCCAAGATGGGAGAATCGCTTGAGCCCAGGAGTTTGAGACCAGCCTGAGCCACACGACCCCGTTTCTACAAAAATATAAAATTAGCCAGGTGTGGTAGTGTGTGCCTGTAGTCCTAGCTACTTGGAGGCGTAAATAGGGGTGAGCCAGGAATGAGTCTGTGAGCTAGGACACTACTGCATCTAGCCAGGGACACAGTGAGACCCCATCTCATAAAAAAAGTAAATTGCAAAGTTTTCTATAATAACTTTAATTTTTAAATTTACAAAAGCAAAAGATAAAGCAACTCAGATATTTATTTTAAAAAATTTTTCACTTTTTTTACCATAGAATATATAGAATTTAAGACTTTAAGTAACATGTTTATCCTTAATATCTACCTCCCACACCCTTTTGGGAACTCGCAGACCTCAATTCACTCCTTCTCTTGAAGGGAACATTCCTGCCCACCATTCCTCATAGAATTCCGTGGACAAACTGTCCTTTTAAAAAAGTACTTTAGGCGCGGCAAGTGGCTCACGCCTGTAATCCTAGTACTCTGGAGGCCGAGGCGGGCAGATTGCTCGAGGTCAGGAGTTCGACCAAGCTGAGCAAGAGCGAGACTCCATCTCTACTATAAATAAAGAAATTAATTGGCCACTAATATATATAACAAAAATCAGCTGGCATGGTGGCCCATGCTGTAGTCCCAGCTACTTGGAGGCTGAGGCAGGAGGATCACTTGAGCCCAGGAGATTGAGGTTGCTGTGAGCTAGGCTGATGCCATGGCACTCACTCTAGCCTGGGCAACAAAGCAAGACTTTGTCTCAAAAAAAAAAAAAAAATTAAAAAAAAATAAAAAGTACTTCAAAAGTTTTTAATTTTTGTAGAGATGCGGGTCTTACTGTTTTCCCAGGCTGGTCTTGAACCCCTGGCCTCAAGCAATTGCCCCACCTCTACTTCCCAAAGTGCTGGGTTTATAGGCATGAACCACTACAATGAGCCTAAGTGTCCTTTTTTGATTACAATTATTTCACGCAAATGGTATTTACTATATATCTTTTGATAATAATTTCCTTTATCTTTAACAGGTATTTTATAACTACATCTAATTACTCCATTCTTTATTGATTACATGTGGTCTTACATTAATAGTAGTGCATAAACTTCATGCTAAATTCAAATCGCTTATAAGCATCAAAGGTTTCTTATTTTTCTTCCAATTAACTACAAGTGGATTCCCATTTTGTAAGAACCTGTGGCCTTCTTGGGGATAGACTGTTTCTTTTTTCTAGGAAAACTACTTGAATGGCCACATAGTTTGCAATACAAAGTAGAGGCCTCAAAAAGAAACCTTAAGATATCTTTGCTCCAGAGAATTAAACTGCACTGTAAGCAACAAAAAATGTGGTTTGACAGGCAGTTTTTCTTAGGAGACCCCTGCCCAGACTAGATGTGATATACATTAAGAGGTTTTTTTTTTTGAGACAGGGTCTTACTCTGTTGCCTGGGCTAGAGTGCTGTGGCATCAGCTTAGCTCACAGCAACCTCAAACTCCTTGGGTCAAAGGACCCTCCTGCCTCAGCCTCCTGAGTAGCTGGGACTGCAGGCATGTGCCACCATGCCCGCTAATTTTTTTTTAATGTATATATTTTTTAGTTGTCCAGCTAATTTATTTGTATTTTTTTTAGTAGAGATGGGTTTCACTCTTGCTCAGGCTGGTCTCAAACTCCTAAACTCAAACGATCCTCCCACCCTCGGCCTCCCAGAGTGCTAGGATTACAGGTGTGAGCCACTGCACGCGGCATAGTTTCATCAGTTTTTGACATGCACTGTTTTTTTTTTTTTTTTTTGAGACAGAGTCTCACTCTGTTGCCGGGGCTAGAGTGAGTGCCATGGCGTCAGCCTAGCTCACAGCAACCTCAAACTCCTGGGCTCAAGCGATCCTACTGCCTCAGCCTCCCGAGTAGCTGGGACTACAGGCATGCGCCACCATGCCTGGCTAATTTTTTGTATATATATTAGTTGGCCAATTAATTTCTTTCTATTTATAGTAGAGACAGGGTCTCGCTCTTGCTCAGGCTGGTTTTGAACTCCTGACCTTGAGCAATCTGCCCGCCTCAGCCTCCCAGAGTGCTAGGATTACAGGCGTGAGCCACCCCGCCCAGCGACATGCACTTTTGAGATGCGAAATGCAGCTCCTTCAGTGCTCCCCAAACGTGCCCCACTTGGGCTTTTCCTCAGGCAGCAGCAGGACCCAGCTCACCTTTTCCTGGCTTTTCTCCAACCTCTACCCTTTCTGCTCCTCTCTTCTCTGATTTCCGACCTTCCTCAGGCCCAGTAGTTTAGGTCTTCCAAAGTGTTGTCCTCAGCCCTCAATTCTGCCCCTGGTTATCAAGGAATAAATCTAAATAAACGCAAGCCCCTCAATTAGAGTTTGGGTGCCAAAAACATAAAAAAAAAT